AGCTTTAGTAACATTGTATATATGGAATCGATATTTTCCAATACAAAAAAGTATAAATGATGTTAATGGCGTTAACGTTGAATCAGAGATAACAGAGTTGTTCACTGAATAGCACGGAATCAGTGATATTTTTCTTTCATACAATATTTACGAAATTACTAATATCACCGAACCGCGTGTTATCAATTGTTATGTTTATGAATACTGTTAATCAGAAAAAATTTAGGACTCGAGTCATTTTCAGAAACAACAATTAGCATAACAGGCGATATTCTCTGAATCATGCCTATAAAATACCAAAAAATTCCCATGAAGTCATTGCTTTTCGATTTCAAGTGATGGAAAAGGTTGTAGTTTTTGTTAAACCTGCCGATTCTTAGACATCCTTTCCTGGCTTGCTTGGATCTTCCGGAAATAATTCCCAGTTTGATTTTTAAAGTGTCCACGTAGATTATCACTTTGTGCACGATGAAGAGTATTAACGAAAACGATCAAACCTTTGGTACGATTAAGAGACACTAATGTTATTATGCAGAAAGATAGGAAGAGGTCTGGCAAGGCCAGATCAGAAGAGCGGAGAAATTTGATATTCAACTGGCGAGGACCCTTACAGTAACTGTAACAATGAATCATCGAAAAGGGACTTTTTCGGAGTAAACCACTCTTCAACGTTTTACATTGAGGAGACATTCATTTGTATATATTAAATGATCAACAACTATATCGTACGACAATTATATCGTAACAGAATATCATACCATTACTGATGCCAAGGGTCCGATATACTTAGCTAGTATTATAATGCCCATTGCTAAAGATTGCTGATATGATATTGAAGATGTGACCTTTTCTACGGCAAAATGCACTCACAAGAGAGATATTTATTGTTAACAACAAAGCCATCCTTGTATATATGCCCTTCACTTTCCCTGTTCTAGAAGAACCATTCTGCCTTCGCTATTGATCATTTCCTATGTCTCCTTACCTGAATTTCAGCAGACCGGAAAGTTACAGTCTTTCTGGAAATCTCCCGAATCAAAACTATCTACTTGTAAGAGTTGAAAGTATCTCAACTTTTCCGTGCAAATGTTGGGACTATTTATAAACGAAAGCTACAATTTGGCTGATTTGTAAATCTATCCGGAACAGCCCTAATTTTCCCCCTCCATTCTCCATTTTCCTCATCTTTCTCTATCCCTTTCTTCCACTGTTACATAAAAAAGGTATCCGATTAAGATGGGATAAGTGAGTGAGACAGCGATACCGTCAAAGTCACGTAGATGCTTGTATCACACTGATCTACTGAGATAATGTTAAACGACAAGGGCATGTTATGTTGATTTCTTGTACATCTGGAGGTTTGTGGTAGTTTATTTTGTATGGTGAGGGTCAGGCCACTTCCACAATTAGTTCTGACAATTAATTTTCTAAAGCGAGAGTAATTTATGGTCTAATGGATACGCGCATTTTATCGGACTACCTATGTTGTATCATTTGTGTGACTCTTGACTCGCATGTCTGTCTAACCACATGGCTTTGTTCTCTCAGAATTTGACATAAAGTTGTCAGACTAATTGCTTAATATTTCTTACAATTTTCATCGTCTTCTGTTTTGAGACTTTTTAGTTAGTTTCTCATCCGAGCCATCTAATTTTTGCTAGGTTTAGCTTTTTTCCAAAAAAGCGTCGAATAGTTCATCATTCAAGGAAGAAAAAGTACCACAAGTATCACAAACACCACATAACATACTTCCTATAGATTAGTTGTGTGTGCGGTAAATATTTAGGAAAATCCATTTAATAATAATTGAAACTCTGACAAAATGAGTAACTTTGATATCACACTTTTATATAATATATTAAGTCCAAATATTAAGTCCTTTTTGTATCCATTGGCGAATGATAAAGCTTTTAGCAAAGAAAACCAAAGAATCAGTTTTACCGTAATGTTTTATGGGCAGTGGATTAATTTCTTTTTTACATTTCAGAAGTTTCCACAAGTTGTGTAATCGGCAGGGTGTTCCGTTGAATAATTTCATTTCGGAAAACTGATGTTAGGAGAGCAGATTCGTCAGGGATTCAGTCCTCTATTAGCTGTTCTTACATCAGATGCTGTGGAACGTATTGCTGCTAAGAGTAATCTTAGCTTCACTGATTTACTTTTGCCGTTTGCTACTGTTAATTGCACATTAAAGGTTACTTTTTAATTCGTTTCCATAATGAGATTGCTATAACGAGTTCAAAAATTTCTAAATTATAGAAAATATCTGAGAGAGACACTAAAGATTCAAATTCCAAAATTCCAGGATCCTTCGGGCTCATCGATAACATCACGCATATTCTTTGATTTCCGAGATCTTCAACGAGACGGATTCCTTCTAAGTTTAACTGTTTTGCCTTCTGTTTTACATGAAGCTGCATCGTCGGTTGCATCCACATCGGATTCCGACCCCGAACTTGCTTCTGTTGCTTTCAGGCTTGTTCTTTTGCATGGTTTTGTTTTTTCGGATTAAACCTCAAAATACATGTCCTATCAAGTCTCCTTTGGGTTTCTATCACTTTCGCATTTCAGTAGATTTATAGCTTATCCAGCAGCATTTTCCCACTAGATCAATAGATTTAATTTGAATACTGTTACAGTGAAACTTTGCTGAAATGGTCCGAGCCGGCAGAGCACGAATTCCTTCGAACTTACCTTGGTTGCATCTTTGTCGTATCTACCGATGACGAAAATCCTGTGGAAGAATTATCGCGATTGATTGATATTCAGTATCAGCAACAGGTATGATGCTGTTATTTTGTTTGTTGAAAAATTAAAAAAATAAACCACTTGGATAACATATAATCTTCTGCGCTAACGGAAAGCTGATATGTGTCAATGCGATTTCCGAATTGTCACAACTGTTACTAGTTTTTTTTTTTACCGAATTTCTGAACTGGGCAGTAATCCAGTCATTATCGAGGAAAAATTGAATTTTTTGATATTGTTGCTACATTTATAGTTTATATGCAATCAGCTCGTCCATTCAGTTCTCGTCTCAAAGAAAAATTGTATGCCAAACATTCATTTCATCGTTGAAATTATGCATAAAAGATTTTCTATTTCATCAGGCTCATTTTTATGTACGTCACAATCACAAGCATTGGTAAAAGTGCCGCCACTGAAAGTAATTTTTATATGTGAGATGCGGTAGATTAAATACATTGTTGCACTTTAACTTTTTTATTTCGTAATACTGAAGAAATGGTTTTGACAGTATTCAGTTTTAGTAGGTCTTTTTATTTGATCATGTTAGATTTATCAGATTTATGATATATTTGTCAAATATATTTTAAATATATCTTATTGCTTTTCAGAAATTACGTTTTAATTACTGATGAGTCTTAAACCGTTTCACGTTAGAAGCAGATCTGTTTTTTGTTTCTGTTATTGCGAATTTGTTATGTATCATCTCTCCTTTGCATTTATAGCTTTCTCTGATAAATTCAGCGGATTGAGTTTTTATGTTTTTATGGTATATTTTTATGGAAATCTTTAATATATCAACCTGCAAGTGCTAGGTTCCAATGGCATCATGATCCGTGCCTAGGCATAGATTCTTTTGACAATCTGCACTGGACGTTTGTAAATGAAATAAAATAACTTTACCTTAAAGGAAGTGAATGTTTTTTAGGGACATGAAAGTTAATAAACGATGAGTGCGCCATAAGTTAGCAGAGTTTCTTTTTTCCTAAATGATTTCTAATTATTTTTTCCTAAACCATTCCATTAGGAATGCCTAATTAATTTTAATAATTTGAAAAAGGAGTAATTGTGTCAACTTGTAGCAATTTTATCATTACTAATTTATAAATATTCTATAAAGCATATAAAATACTTCATAAAGTATTTTTTTCTGTTAATTTTTTAATATATGTTAAGCAGTTTCCTGAATGGTTCGTCATTATCAAATTATATTTGAATTGTGTACACAATACAGTCAGTGTAGATGGCGAAAATGCAAAGTGAAAATAAAGTCGCTAGTTCAGTAATCACGATTCAATCGATTTTTTTCCTTTCGCAGTGGATTGTTTATATGTGCCCTTTATGGGTCCCTGTATGTTTTTGCGTGCTGTGTGTGTGTATGTTTACTCCTTGTTTTAGTTTACTCCTTGTGCGATATAAATGTGAAGCTACTGATTTGTTTTTCTAACTTTTTAACATTTTAAAATATTCCAAGATATTCGTACGTCATTACAAATAGTTTGTAACAATGAAATATACAGGAGTTTTTGACTATTTCTGAAAGTAAGGCTTAAAGTGAAACATTAGCTGCGTCAAAAGTACTGAATAACTGTAATGTTATAAACGCCATGAGGGAGAGCTAAATCATCGTGGATGGGTGAAAAGCGACATTATTGCATTAACTGTCAGGTTCTGTTTGAAGTTTAGGATTTGATGATTAGATTCAAAATTAGATTTAGATTGTTAGCTTGGATAATTAGACACCAGAACTTTGAAATATTAGGGTGCTTTTGTTGATATAAATAAATAAATATATATATTTCATAATATTACTTTCTTGTCTTTTCTGCATTTTTTTTATCTTCACTTTGTTTTTGACTTTCCTGTTAATCGTTTCCTCTCTCTTTGTCTGTTGTAGAACCCACTCAAGTTTTTGAGTAAGAATGGACAATGATGTTTTAAAATACTGATCCTAACCTAGAGGAAGCTATGGAAATGTTGCATTTTTCCATGATAGAATTACTTAATAAATTAGATTTTACTCTTAAGGTTGCAAGGTTCCATAGATTTAGAAATTTTTAACACTGCATTTATTAGCGTAATTTATATTGCAGTATGGACAGAACGCTTTTGCTATTGGGCCAGCGTACTGTGCAATGCCGAGATGGATGCTTCCAAATATTTTCAAGTATTTCTTAATTGTAGACGATGAATCGTCAGGAAATGGATCGTCGAGGTGAGCGGTTGTCCTTCCATACCTGAAGTTTGTTTTTGTTAGGAGTTAATTTAGTAGTAGTTCGTTTCAACTTGAGAATGGATTAAGGCTCCAAGAAGTTTGTACCACAAATCAATAGCGACTATTGCCGCTTCCTGAACCGTAAATTGTGTCAGAACCGTTAATTTCGATAAGGAAATGTATTTTCATCTTTTTAGGGCACTTTCAGTGTTTTCAACAATCACTACACAATTCGGTGTTCAAAATTGTTATTTGCTTAAAGTGAATTCAAAATACGATGATGAATTAACGGATCCGTGGCGTGCACATTTGGAATCGAAATATCGTGGACTAAAAAAGGATTACAGCTTGCTAAGCATAAAGTTCTCACAAAAACAATGGGATTAAGTGTTGGCTTGGTACGTTCTCGTTTTTTCTTTCTGTACGCAGAGTAATGTATTCCTCATATTAAATAAATATTTATTTTCAGTGGTAAGAAACTTCTGCTGCTTACCAATTTAGCAGTGATTTCGAAATTGATCATCTTTGCTGTGAAGCACTGCCGAACTGATGAGCAACCAAAGTTTCCTTCTACTGAAAAGGCGCAGTTATTTTGTATAAAACACATACTAATTTGCTCACAGGATATCTTAGCTTTGTAAAACTGTTTTTATTTCAGAATCGTTGTGTTTCTCTGTAACACATGTTTATTTCATGTAGTTGAATTTATAAAAATGCTCGAGTTTCATTAGTATTTACAGAAATCCGAAAATTTTTGTGACTTCTAGTTTGCTAGAAAGAAAAAATTATTTTCAGACCTCAACTACTGAACCATCTCTAATAGGGCAGAATAATGGTGGTCTTGCCAATTTTGGCTCTGTCTCCGCTGTACTTCATGGACAGTGTCTCAGCTATAATGATCGTGAAAATGTCACAAAAATGATGGAATATATGGTTCACAATGCTCTATTACCTTGGGTAGAGCAACAAATGCGCAATCTTAATGAACAGGTCATCGTGCATCGTGGAATAAGCAAGTCATTGACTACCGGGGTACGGAAGTGGTTTGGAGCAGCAGCTGCTCAACAAGCTACATCAATAACGTATGAAGACCTTTTGCCATTTGGTTTGCAGTTTTTCATCATTTAATTATGGTTTGGATTCCCTTAGTCTAAAAGTGTTATTCTTCCTTTTGTTTCAGTGTTAGCTTCTATTTATTCAATGACAGAGTTTCTTTATAGATCTCTTTCTTGCATAATCTATTTTTCGTGTATCAGACTAAGCTTTTAAATTCTCCCTTCCACTTAACTAAAGAATTATGCAAAACTTTCATTTTTAAATGGAAAGTACAGATAATCTCAACTACTAATTTTAGTTATGCACGGGATAGTGGCGAAATGCAGATTAGACTATTAGCCGATCTTTGTTTCATTTTTGGACTTTATTCTTATGCGTATCAACTTTACCAAATGCTTAGAAAAGAATTTGCTGTAGATCAGGCTTGGTTGTACAATGCTGGAGCACTTGTGAGTATCAGTTGTTCTTTAAGTAAATTCCTAACCCAATTAGAAATTGGTTTAAAATACTTGGCAGTAAAAAATTAGGGCTTTTCATGGAAAAGAGTTAAATTGTCGTTTCTTTTTCAGGAAATGGCAGCATTAAGTTTATTTTTAAGTACATCTCAGATTACTGCGAAACAGTATCCACAGCATTACATGGATGATGCGATCAACTTTTATACAACAGTCAGCCTGTAATTGCTAAAAATTTTCATACACCAAATATTTAACAAAACCAATCTACAACAGATTTATAACTTCTGCTTATTCTCTCACATTTAACATTTTAAAAGGCATTTTCGGGAAAGGAAACGAGGGAGTGCAAGAAGGAAGGAAATAGACGGGAACGAAAAAGAGCGAAGAAATTTACGATTATTATGACAGACTTTAACATAACGTTTCAAGAATAAGAATTGATTGTTATGCAGCACTTTTTGAAATTGGACTTCATTTCTAGCCTTTTCCAGAAAACCAATTTTGACAATGCGAGCTGCTATTTTAAGTGCACTGATACTCTCCACTTTGGAATTATATATCGAAGCGTGTGCGCAACTTCTGAAGCTAACGAATTCTGTTAGTTCGACTTTTATTTTCCTGCTAAAATTAAGTTTTGGATAAGGCAGAAGCTTAGTTTTTTTATCTTGTAACATGAACTATGGAAGAATAAAAATGACCATTTACGAGAAAGTGATTACTTACAGGACGATGACTTATTCAGTGGTGTTTTGCTGGAAAGGGCAAGTGTTTATTTCGGAAATGCCAAGATGCATCGAAAAATGGCATTCCATTACATATTAGCAGGACATCGGATGTCTAAGGCTGGTCAGAAACAATTATCCATAAAATGCTACAAACGTGCTCTTTCTGAGTATCTCTCCAAACGTTGGATTTTTGCAGAAGTAAGCCATTTACCTCAGTTTCGGTCGAGAGTTTTATGCTGATATGTTAATATTTTACATTAAAACGGGTGTAACTTTATGAACTATCAATCTGCAGGGCATGCCGGATAATGCTAGTAACTAATAATGGTAATGGTGGGCATGTCAGTTTTCCACAATGACTGATTGCTAAAAAAATTCTAACCTCCAGAAAAGCTAAAAATTATCTAAATTTATGTGATACAGCTTTTTTCTTGGTATTACTACTATAAAGGTAAAAGGGTATAAACATTCATTTCACGAAATACAGAAGCATGTCGGCTTCCGCAAACACAGAATGATAATGTAGAGGAAAGATTGATAGACGATGACATAGAAGGACATTATATGCTGTATTTTAGAACAGAATGTCAGGATGTAAGTTTATAGACCATAAGAACATTTCTAATAGTAAATACTGCAAGCATTTAAATGTGTTGAGATAATATTGATTTGTTTGACTAATATGATATTTAGGATCATATTCTTTATGCATTGGCTAGTGAAAGTGAGCAAAAAGAAGAAGCCCTATCGTGGTGCTTACCTTTAATAAGATCACAATCAGTACAACATGCCAGTCAGCAGCAACTTTTTCTCAAGCATTACCTGCAACTTTTGAATCATTGTAACAGTACTCGAACTGATGCGCTCATGATGGTACCTCTAGTAGATATTCAAAACATTGTTGTCATTTATGGCGAACGTCCAATCGAATTAACACCTGAATTGATTACAAATGTAGAAAATTTGGTTCGTTCAGTCATTTTTTTTCTCATCTTGAAATTATTTATGCTTATAACAACTTTTTGACTTGGATCTATCAACTTTTCCACTCTTTTTCAGAGAAATAATGGGGATGGATGGGTAAATTTGGCCAAAGCTGCGTACTGGGCAATAACAGGTTCTTTTGATGGTTTTCGAGAGACAGGGACTGTTCGTACAGCTTCTACGGATAATTCAAAGGTTTAAGTTTTTTTTTTAACGTAACATAGTATCGACAATAAACGCATTTTCTTCCTTTGAATGCTTTACATTAACTTTTTGTAACAATGTTTTTGCTGGCTTTGTGTGGGATTTCGCTACAATTCATAGTTAAGTTTTTAATTTAGGTACCTTTTGCTCCACCTTTGGAAAGAATGCGAATAATATTGTCATTAAAAAACTCTATGGATATTCCCTTGGTCTTGAAAAATATTCATTTGGAAGTATCAGCTGATCCAACGATGTATTTGCAAACCTGTGCTGATAAAGTTAGTTTTAGTTTGTGTTCTTATCCTTGTTCTCTTTTCGTCTTGCATCTCATGAACATGAAACTAGGATATTCGTAGTATCTTAATTTTAGATCACGGATGTCATAACCTTAGTTTCTTTGTCGCTAACATCTGTATTTTCTGGGCCATTACTTAAAAGTTTGAGGAAACCATCCTTCATCCTTCACCTTAATCTAAATTAATCAGCTTTTTCAGATTACTTTAGAACCGAAATGTGATTGGATTCCTTTTGAATTATCTATTATTCCTAAAGAAGTTATTGGTAAAGTTCGAGTGCACGGTTTGTCTTTCAATCTTGTAATTGGCGAAATCAGTGTTACGTATTCAATTCCGCTTAACATTCGCGGACCACGGCTGAATAACACAAAAAAGGAGGTTAAATTTTCAAAACGGTGCTAGTATTTCTTCAAATAATCTTTTGAATAAAGTAGAGTCTGGTTTTCACGAACGCTTATAATTATTTTTCTCACGTCGAAACAATGATTTAGAAAATATTTCTTAGACGATAGTAAATTTTCCGTAGGGAAAATTCTTTTGGAATATATCTGTACATCAGTACGTCAGTTTTCATACCTCATGATGATTTACTACAAAGTAGTGATGCACAAAGAAATTTATTAGCATAAATGTGATTAATGCTAGAAGAAAAGAATATTAAAAATACTCAATGTATAATAAATCATTTTCAGAAAACATCTGTCTTATATGGCGAAGATTATCGCTTGACTGCAAAAGTAACAAAAGAACAGTGGCCACTGGTTGAAATTGATTTGCCACCAAAACGACGATTAATGGCATTCTGTGGCCAAATTTGTCGATTTGACTGTGACGTGAGCAATATAGGTGTAGTAACTCTGGAAGCTTTTTGCATAGTCACTGATCATCCGGAGCTAATTTCAGTTTATGAGGAAGAATGTTCAGGAAGTACTGCATTTCGGTCTGTAGAATGTACTTCAGCAGCTACAGATGCTGCAGTTGGTGTTTTCAACTTGAAACACGGCGTTATTGCTGTAGGCCAGAAAAAAAGGTTGGGATTCTGTGCTCACATTTTTCGAATCCTGTATAATTTTGTTTCTTTTTTTTTTTTTTTAACCCACTGGAAACTTATATAGATATCATCTTGTAATATATGCACTTATTGATTTTGCTTTTCGGAGATCTTTGAAATTCTGCAGCGTTACAGACTGGGGAAATAAGCATTGTTTGTATCATTTTTGATTCACTTCAGATTACAATTAGCAGTTCGAGCTCCTACTACTGAATCTCTTGGATTTAACGTAATGTTGGTTTGCTACTATCGTGGTGATAATTGTATGGTCCGAGAGGAGAGACATTTAATCGTGATTGATACCCGTGTAATTTTAGAAACTTCATTAAGGTAATTTTTTAAACGCCTGAATTGCTAACTATTTTTTTGATAAATAGATCTAAATTTGTAACTTTTACTATTTTTGCTATTTTTAGGCTTGTCGATCGCGCCAGTGGTGCATGCGTTTTGCAGCTGCGTAATCTCATACCAAGTCGTAGTTCTTTACTTGCCAAAATTCAATTAATAAGGATACGGTCGTTGATTGCTTATACCAAGATAAATTTTACTTCGAAAACACGGCAAGATTCCTTGCCACGAATTTTTCTACATCCTCTGCAAAAGCGTCGAGGTAAGTTGTCTCAATCAGGAATAGTGCAGTGTGGATTATAGGCCGTGGAAAAAAATGAGAAAAATAAAGAATAAATGAGTTTCTGGCGATTGAGACTGGCAGATATTTATCTTCTCAAGCTTCGATTTTTCTTAGAGATGTAATTTTGGCGCCACATTTAGTGGAACTGGAAAGTGAACAAACAGATAGCATATCGTTTTTGGCTAATGGACATACGGGAGCAGTATCCTTATGGTTTTGCGATGAAATCAGGGATATTCCGAAATGGTTCAATTCTCTTGATTGTTCAGACGAAATATCCGGTGTTGTATCTTCATCAAAACAAAATACGGAAGATGAGAATACAGCAGTTCCAGATCTTGATTTATTCTTTGCAGTCCTCTGGAAAGCTAACGTCATTAATAGTGATGGTACTGCTTCTACAGG